TCTTTCTTACACTAGAGTTGAACTGAATTGCCTTTCAGTCTATCAAAACAGCAGAGACATGGTGGCAACCACATTGACGCGTCTGCTGCTGCTGTTTCTTCTGTCTGTTCACTGGTTGAGTGGATTTTGTTTCAGTATAATATAACTTTACAGCCACATACCTTGACACACGAACGCTTGAGGAGCAGGCTCGGTCCGATGAAGCATTGGAAGGCGGGGTGTTGTGACTTCTGTCATTTAAGCTCTCAAGTGACTGTGTTCCAAGGGGATTCCCTGAGTCCATTGACAGTGAGCTCCCCACCTCATTGGTAACTGTCGCACTGTTTGACAATCCATGGTTATATAGGCTTCGGTTGTGATCAAGAGAGTTCTGTGAGGTACAAAAGTCATCTCGAAGTAAAAACTCGTGTCCACTGTTCACTGAAGACAAGTTTAGCGACTGAGGTCTGGTCAACGTGTTGCGATTGATTGAGTTTGAAGAGTCATGTGATCCACAGTCAGTGTTGTCCTTGTGTTGTATGCCGCTGTATCTTGTATCAGTGTCAGAGCCTGAACCACTTTGTTCAGTGAAAACAGGATTGTCTAAGCCTGTCACTGAGCCTGAAATACAACCAAGAATAACTCGAGATTACACATATGAAAATACAGACGCTCTTTTTGTCTACATATTATGGTTCCTTTTGTCCAGATTGCGGAAAGCAAAGACAAAGGTTTTTTTATGATTCCTCGCTGCTGAAAATGGAATCCCTCCGTGGCCACATTCATGGAGCACTAAACCAGGCGAACAGCACAGGTGAACAGCAAACAGTCCATAAAGTCATAGAGCGCGCTTTGGGAACTTTCCGTCAAATAACTCGTATCGACTGAAAAACGATCGTGTTAAATAAGTCGTTTTCACAGACTGGTATATCTGTCTTTGAATTTAAGACGAATTCTTTTCACCTGGCTAAAACAACAGCTGACCAAATGAAATTTTGTAAGATGACATAAAGGAAAGTCGGGTGTTGAAATGAATTTCCAATGTAGTTTAACATGAAGTGGTGGACCTTTTCAGCTGTAATTTTTGAGAAGTTATTCAGAAGTGAGAAACATTATCCTTCTAGAAGGTAACAACTCGGTAAACATCTTCAGACGGGCGGCGCACGGTAATACTTCTTCGTTAAGCAGAGGAAAAGAGCTTGTTTAAATCTACTCGTCTCTTAGTCTGAAACGCCAACATTCACGGTACGATTTCTGAAAATTTTGTCATTATCACTTACTAAATGAGCTTAGTGATCCACTTCCATCACTACTGGCAACAACCTGCAAAGGACGAACCCAAAGCTAATAAAACAAGAATCCTAGCGAATGTTCTAGTATTTTATTAGTGCATTTCTTTGATATTCCCTCAAGGAAACGAACGACAATAAGGCAGCATCAAAGAACTGGTGCTTAGAAAATACAAAGAGGATTTCGATTGTGTTACAAACACAGAAATTTAAATACAAACCTACATACTTTATTTAAGGTATCAAAGAATAACACAACTAACACCCTAAAAAGGAAGTTTAAGAGGTTAACCCTATGAAAATAAACTTCCAAAGAAATAAAATTTAAAATGTATGCTTACAATACACAGAAGAATATATAAACAGAAAAATTTATCAACAGGTCCTGTAGGATGCTCCGTAAAAATACTCACGCCAGTTTTCTTCTTGAATTCGCGTTTGCTCAGTTTTCTGAAAAAACACACAGAAAAAAACAAATTAAAAAAACAAATAAATTAGAAGAGAAACTGGAAATTAGAACTGGAACGTGCAAAATGTACTGTCGGCTGAAATAGATAAACTGAGTTGTTACAATACAGATTCATGTGGCATGTAAACTAGAGATTATTCTTCACTTGAAGAAATACAAAAGTGGGCTACGCGCATTATTTTTCCTCTTTACTCATATAACGAGGCCTTGGCTGAATCAGGCCTGACTAAACTTTCAGATCGCCGCCAGAAACTAGTTGATAAACTATTTAAGAATGTTTTACAGAATGAACAGAACAAGCTCCATGAACTTCTTCCTACTCGCAACACATGTACCTTTAACCTAAGAAATATGCGGAAGTTTAAGCCAGTTTTTAAGACGAACAGGTTTCGTAATAGTTTTATTACCTTCAATGCCCTTAAGGCTTGAACGGTTTTATACAACCGTTTTTTTTTTTTAGAACATATATTTAGTGTCCTTATTGCTGTTTTAATACATTTAGTCTATTTAACGTAATTATC